ATATTTTTGCACCCTAGGTGCAGCACTCTGCACTTGTCCGCGTTGTACTGCAGGCTGGGTCTGGTGGGGTCCCATCAATGGAAGTAATGTTCTTCCATTACTGCCTCCCGATTTTGTTCAAAGAATTTCACCTCAATGAGACTGTATCCTGGAAGTGCTATAAATGAGCACTTTTCCTTTATAGACCTCAAAAGCACTTTTCAGAAGGTGCAAGTTTGTTATTCACAGATGGAGGAACCAAGTGCTGAGTGGTTAAATTCCCCTCTCACCAAGACAGCTAGAGACTACTTTAAGATGCAGTATTAATGGAATACATGTCTGATTCCCAGCCCCTGTCCTACCCACTAGACCAGGGGTGCTCAGCCGCCACCCTGGAGGCCAAATGTGGCCCTCAGAGCCTTAGAATCCAGCTTATGGGTCCCTACAGGTTGGGAAATTTGGTGGTGTGGGAGCAGTGGCAGTTAATACCCCCAATCCTCTCTGCTGCTAAAATCCTAAGCCCCGTGGAATGGACCGGATTTGGGCTGTGACCCTCTCCCCACATGGCCAGATTGTAGCCAGGCCACATCCTCTTCCCTCTGCATAGCTGAGTTGGAACCAGGCTGTGTCCCCTTTTCCCCCATGAGGCCGGGCCATTCCCCCTTCCCTCCAGGCTGCCAGGTTGGGGCTGGGTCATGCCCTCCTCCCCATCTCCTGCAGGGCTGGGTCATGACCCTTCCCTCTGCGGGGCCAAGTTAAGGCTAGACCAAGCCCCCTTCCACTAGAGCTGGATCAGGGTAGGGCTGCACCCTTCCCCTTTCTACGGCCAGATCGGGCCCCACCAGACCCAGCCTGCAGAGGGACTGGGCACTGCCCATCCAACCCCCCAGCCAACAAGGTTGAGCACCACTACACTAGACCAATGAGATGTACAGATACAGTGATCACAGCCACCGCATGTTTAAACAAGCTAATATCATTGTGCTGTGCAGAACCACAGTGTAACTGAATTTACCTCTGGATTACTGACAATCTTTTATTGCTGTGGTTTACTACCTGAGCCTGTAAAAGAGCACTGTATAGAGAGAAGACAGAAGAAGTCTGACAGTATGAACTATAGTGCAGTTAGGCGTGCACCAATAGAGATTTGGTTCCTGGTTGCCCGTGTGCTGCACTGCAGCTGCAAGCACACGTGGCATTAAATCGCCCATGTTATTGGCCACTCAGCCAAAAAAGCTGATTGCCAATACAGTCAATTTTTCTTATAGTCGGTGCCAATCCATACGGGACCAATGTATCGGTGCACCTCTAATAGCATTAGTCCCGAGATCCTTGCAATTGACTGCTTATTTTCTTGATATTGATGCAAATTATTTTTGTGGTTTGGCAATCTATGTCATTATGACCAGCGCATCACTGTTAGTGGAGTTCTATGCTTCTTAGAGGACTTCTCCTCTCGGCTGTCCCTTTACCTTAATTGATTCCAGCTCCATTCGAAGGCGATTATTTTCTGACAGAAGGTCCCGATTTCTGGATTCCGTTTGCTGCAGCTGTGTCTCCAGCTCTGCTTCATACTCCCGGCTCCCTTCCTGGAACTCCCGCAGCTCCTCCTGTGTATTCTCTGCACTAAAGCACAATTCCAGTTACAGAGTTATCTTGGATCAAGGCTCACTAACGCTACCACCTCACTCAATGCAAATGTGACCAAATCAAATACTCCGTGAGCCCTAATACAGCTGAAGGATCTTGGCCTTTTAAAAAAAACAAACAAACAACAAAATAGAAGTGCTGGCATGAAGATGCCTCTCTGTAATCAAAACACATTGGCTGCTTACAGATGTAAAAGAAAACCAAAAAAGCAGCAGTTTACTTTAAACTCACTGTGTCCCCTGAGCTAAGCCCAGAATATGCATCATGTTAGTTTGCTCCAGCTCACCCAACATCTGTATAGATCAGCTGCTCCAGAAGGACTTTTCTGGTGCTTTTATCCAATAGCTGATTGAATCCACAAACAGTAAACCATGTTTTTTCTCTACAACTGTCAGCAGCTATTCGTAGTGAACAAACACCTCTAACCATTCATCTCCAGACAGGGGATTACAGGCCCAGTCCCTCTACTGGAGTGCAAGACATTAATGGGATCCCACCAGCTTATGCTGCACACCTTCAGTCATGCTTAATTGATTGAACATTTAAGATATTTTAATATTTAAATATTTGTGAAATCTCATGTGCAGAAATTTCCTCTGCATCATGCAGAAAACACAAGCCTGTTCTCCATATTAATCCAAATATTGCTACAATGATCTGAAAGAGGTCTGAATATTCAACATCAATGCATTTTCCAGGCCTGATCCCTAGAGGGATATGCAGATGTCCCTAGAGGGATATAACCATCTGACCTGCAAAGCTTTGAAGGTCACAATTTGCACCACTGAATTGGCTGAAACACTCCATTTACCCTGACCTGTATGAAGAGAAGGAAGATGCAGTCAAGACGCTCCACTTGATCCAGGAGTTTACTCTGACTTTGGATACTGCTGAACTGTACCTGGGCAACATATTCCTGACTCAAACTACTTCCGAAAGGCTGCTGGAGAAGCAAACGCTTTCATGGGGGCCTAAACCTCAGGATCAGCTATGATGATTTCACAACTCCATCCACTACAAGATTCCTCAGTGGGTTACAGGATCCCGTGCTCTGCAATTAGAGACACTCTGAGCACCCAAAATCCTGCTGCAGTCTGTGTTAGGCCAGGGACATAGACAGAGGAGCAGGAAAGGCACGGGCCTTGGGTTGCCTTTTGCTTAGCACTACCAAATGACCAGACTTAATTCAACAGGCACACCCCCTCCATGCTAGCAGTATCCCCACACAGGGTGGAGAACCTGCCTCAAGATTTTGCCCCACCTCTACGAAACCCAGTGCTGCTGATTGATGCCCTCGTC